ACGATCGATGACGATGACGATGATGATGATGATGACGATGAAAATTACGATGATGACGACGGCGAAGATGACGATGATGATGACCATGAAGATGACGTGATGATGACGATGATAATGACGATGACGATGTAGATGACGATGATGGTAATGATGACGATGACGATAATGATGACGATGATGATGAAGATGGCGATAATGATGACGATGACGATGATGACTGTGACGATAATGATGATGACGATGATGACGTTGATGATAACGATGATGATGACGATGACGATGTCGATGACTATGACGATGACGATGACGATGATGATGACGATGCTTATGATGATGACGATAATGATGATGACGATGACGATGAGAATGATGATGACGATGACAATTACGATGATGATGACGGTGAAGATGACGATGATGATGACGATGACGATGACGGTGATGATGACGATGATGATGACGATGACGATGTCGATGACGATGTAGATGACGATGACGATAATGATGACTATGACGACACGTCTATCTTCTAACGATTTCTATAGTCGCCTCGTTACGACACCCAGGGGATGAAAGGCTGATGGATTCTTTTTCGCTGCCTCCACAGAACAAAAGGAGGATATCACTATGGTCATATTGATCTAAGTGAAGTGAAAGGTAAATAACTCGTTTGCCTTTTGTTCTGTAGTAGACAAAATAATTCATTGCCCTCATATGCAATCTATTTTATAACAATTAAACCGATTCAGTGCGGAAGACTTATTTAATTATCTTAGTTTTGTTATGTCTTTATGCTGTAGGTTTTATAAAAGTTTAATAAAATTTCAGCCTATTTACGTTCCACTGCTGGACATATGACTTCCTTTGTATTAGAGAGGGTTATGAATAACCGTTGTTTTACATTGGTACTCTTTATTACAATTCTTGAATCACTCCTCGTACAGAATATAGGAGAAGTTATTCATGTCGATTTATAAATTATTTATGCAATAATACCAACATGACCAATGCGCGTCTCTTTACTCACGTGAGCATGAAGGTGCTCACCATGGCGATAGACTAGGGCTGAATAAATTAGATCGTTCTAGAATATGCCACACTGCTCCCCATGCATAATTCTGTTAAAAGCGTGCCCAGTGACCACGTAATTCGATTTCTTTGGAAATATCATGTCTATTATAAGTATCTCATCATGAGGACGATTTACGGTATTTTACATAGACCGCACTTGTTTGCGCGATTAAATACCTCCAGTTGTATTTCCAAATACTGTCGCCAGGGTTGAAATTCCCTAAGAGAATATTGTAACAGCATCTTTAAGAAAAAGGGTTAAATAAAACGTGTCTCCTTACAACCAATAATTCAATAACGCTTCACATACCTTCATCTTGAAATAATGCAAAATAATCCTAAGAACCTGTAAATTGAAAAGCGTTAGTAGTTTGATCCACATTTTTAGAGAGTGTGACGGTATAATGAGGTCGATTTTTTCAGACGTTTCTGCTTTAATGTATTTAAGTTAATTTTATGCTAATAATTATTGTAGTAGGTAACACATAAATATACTAATGCATGTAGATAATGCAGACTAAAAATACCTAACTAACGACTTAAATTTTTAAGAGTATATTTACGTGACTCTGTAACGAGCAAGTGGTTATGTACCCTTTATTAAATAGATGCCGCCATTTTGAGATTAACATTATAATTTTTTTTGTAATCATCACCATCATAATCAATATGTCATTACAGCCTGTCAAAATCTGTAATGACATATGCTGAACACGAATTTCACCGATGTGCGACGTCCATTACGTATAAATGCGTAATTTCGCAGCTTTGTAAAATGTACTTTTGGCCCAGTGCGCCGCTGTACAGTTGCTAAGTACCCCGATGGTTGGCGGTTCGAATCCCGTCGCACGCTTATAGTTTTGTATTCGTATTTTTAAAATGTCGTTATTAAAATATCTCTATATATTTGTTTTCTTATTTTGAAAATATTATTTTCGTATTGTTATTTTTAAAATACATAAATATTTTTTTAATATTTTAATTTAAAAATAAATAGTCAATTTTCTACAAAAATTATCGAGAAATTATGTAACAGATTCTTTAGACGAATAATAAATAAAATGGCTGGTGCAGAATGGTCAATTCTAAAAATGGTCTATTCTCGAAACGGCTAATTGTCAAATTTTTTTTAATTTATAAAAACATATAATATTTTACTATAGAATATAATATACTTCTTCAGAATCAAGATCGAATAATAAAAATAAAATAAAAATATCCACCGAGCTTGATGGTTGATTATGGAGAAAAATATTTATATACAGTGTGTTACAAAAGAGTGTAGTAATAATACCAAAGGCAGACATTGTACACATCGTTATGAAAAACTTTTATTATGGTGTCAGCTCTAAAATCAAATAGAATTTTTATTCAATATAGATCACAAATTTAATTGTTATTGAAAGTCATTTTTACTTTACCACTAGTTCGGAAAAAAATCTCTGACCTAGGAAAAACCAGCAATTAACCCAGTGGGACTTTAAAACATATATTTTACAATATGATTGGTTACAAACTATTTACAAAATTTATTTTAGAAACAACTTTGAAGCGACCACTTCATTCCCAGGGTTTATTATCAACCATGTATTCATTTATATTATAACAACCCTTTTTATACAGTTTTTAATCAATTAAATATTTAAACTTATTAACAGCCAATCCTTTTTTCTCCTATGAGTGACATTTGTAAGAAATGACAATTCTAAAAAGAAGTCACTAGAACCGAAACCGAACAAAAATCTACATCAACAATACAACTTATAAAAAAATAATCACAAAATAAAATATACACAGCTTTCAACAACAAAACATGCGTAAATGATTTTTGAGCGGCGAGCGAAACAGGTCTACCTAGCAGCGCGCCTCAGCGGTCAGTGTCCCTCCGCGTAGAAATGAAAGAGAAGCAAATAAACGCCAAGATGGCGCAATGTTTCGTTGGGCTCGTTCGAGTTATTAATCATTAAATATGTTAATGCTTACAAATATCTTATTTTAATCGATAAATAAAAACAACAGTTCCCTTTACTATTCTATATTACATTACTGTTATTAACTTGATCAATATTTGTTTATAAATAATCTAGTTACAATCGCTAGAATTTCATTTTTAATGGATTTTTGTGATTTTTTTCTATCGATAAAATTTACCGAAAACGTGTTTTAAACTCAATGGTTCCCTAATATATATGATCAAGATTAGGTAACATATTTTTTGCAGCTCTAAAATGTATACATTTTCCTGAAAAAAATTTCTGAAGCCTACTTTGACTATGTACAGCGCCTTAATATTATTTTTTTTGTAATCGTCACCATCATTATCATCATCATCATTATATCCTGTCAAAGTCTACTACGAACATAGCTTCATAGGGGACGATACTTGCTATATTTTTATTATTTTGAGTTGTTGTCAGAAAAATGTTCCTGCCGAGTTTCAGTTTCCCTCTGTAGTATTTTTTCTGTGTATGGTACAGTAAACAGCGGACTCTCCGCCTCTAAACGACAAATCTATGATGAAAATACTAAAATAAATAATTAATAAATGTATTATAATTTTATATTTGATTTGAGTACGTAATGCAAAGCGATATGTCAGTCCCATTTTTTATCCACGCAGATTTTTTCGCAATTATTTATTTTTTACTAAAGTATTCGCTATCGTATTCACGCATTACATTTAAAACCTGATAAAAATTTTGACAATTTTTCCTCTACACTGAATTAATTTAGAATTGTAATAACCCTTTTAAAAAGAATTTAGTCCCATCCTCAAATCCTTTTCTCGTCGCTTACATTATAAATTCGGACATGGTTATGTGAATTAAACAGTTGTTTAGTAATGGCTGCTTTATAATGTGTTTATTTCCGTTAAATGCTAGTGATTATATAGTCTGTAGTCTCTGTAGTCTTTCATTTTAACCTTTTGGTAATAACAACGTGCGCAAAATAATTTAAAAGATAAAGTTAAGATAAAGGTTGTAAAGATCGAGTAGACCAGGTTATAGATAAAACACTATAAATATTTGTCAAAAAAATCAGGCTGAGGGCTTCAAATTATCTATCGTAAAATCCGTCTTCTCTGTGAGTCAATCAGGTGTGGAGTTTTATACATACATACATACATACATACATATATATATATATATATATATATATATATATATATATATGTTATATATAAAACGTTCATATCATTAACAATAGTATGCATTTATAGAAGAAATCTTTAAGTAAAACTAAGGTTTCAAATTACTGCTTACAGCACGTTCACAATAAACAAAGAATGCTCTGCAATAACAGATCAATTGCCGGAAGATCCATTGTCTACTAGTTGCATTTAAGAAGAAGACCTACGTATAATACGTGGGTCTACTCTTTAAGTCGCCTCAATTCAAGCGCATAATTTTTTCCTAATGAATAAAAAAAGAGATTTTTTTAAATTGTTGCGTGTCTTCCGTGAATAAACTAACTGGTAGGTGGTAGGAATGGTGGTAGGAATCCGTCTGGCTAGTTACCACCCGCTCACCTATTGCTGTCGCCAAACATCAGTGCTTACACTACTGTGTAGCGGTCTGAACTGTATAGAGACGGAAGGCCTGTATAACAGGCTGTGAAGCATTCCGTCTTAGTTCTCACAGGTGACAACATATATGTAGCGTTCTTTGTTTGAAGGTGTCCTACATGTAGACTACAGTAGCCACTTACTATCAGATGCACTGTCATTTCGATTATCACTTCGGTTTCATAAAGAATATTTCAAAAAGTATGCCTCTGGAGAATTTTTTTCTCTCAATTTCCCGTAATCTCCGGCGCCAGCAGTGCAACTAGAAAACGAATAACAAAGCTTTGGATACAAAACCCATACATCGACTATAAACGCATTCCACCAAAATACTTCGGACGTACTTAAACTATAAAATATCAAATCACGAATACCCAACAATGAAAACGTCGAATCCTTCATCGAAAACTTTGTACATGAATTTTCGTAGTAAGTCCCCTAATCCTTCCCACTTTTGACGCTGCTCTATGTCATCTGATGCACAAGGCAGTAATGTTGGAATGCCATGAGATGTTATGACATTGCCATAATCACCTTCTGAAAACCGTAAAATACATAAAGGATTCTTCCACCATTACCTTATGGAAAAGTTTTACAAATACATTGAGGTCTTGTCTAATGTCCGGTTTGTATTATATTTATGTTTATATTATATTAAAGAAGCAGAGCAGTTCTAAAGCAACTTGTTTGTTCTCGGAAACTTGTTTTTAAACTTAATATCTTGCATTGTTTATCATTTTTGCTATATGATTTTCTTATAATGTATAACACGCGACATCGTAGTCAATTTTGAGTTTTGGTTCTTTTACAATTAAATACGATATAATTCACGTGTGGTCCCATACAAATTTTGGAAAAAAATATCCCAACGAATAGTGGTAAAATAGGAGATAATGTTTTTAATGTAACTATTTAGACGATAACGAGACTACGGTACATGCGGACAAGGAATATTCCTTGGTGCACTCAAAAGGGTACAACATATCTTTGAATAAAAAGTAAAAGCCAACTTTGAGGAACTACAAACAATAAAATAATTTCATATTCTAAAGCGGAGGCCTTAACGTCAAACCGTCCAATTTGGCCCGACTTTTTACAATTATGTTGATTTTCTTTAAAAAAAATTGTATGGTATGGTATTGTATGGTATACTTCTCAATTTCTAAGGATGGCCTAGCCGATTATGGAATTGTGTTACGATTATAAATTCAGTTTTATTTACATAAAATTACAAATAATTTGAAATTTTGATGACTGGCAAATTTTTTTTTTATAGACTAGGGTGATAAACGAGCACACAGTCCACCTGATGGTAAGTAATTGCTGCGGCCCATAGACATCTACATCTATCCTCCATTAAAAATCAAAATGCAGATGCGTTGTCACCCGTGAGGACTGAGATGGAATGCCTCGTTTCCAGTAAAAAAGGGTATCCGGTTCTCTACACTCACCATACGAAATACAGCAGCATTAAGCTACTATTTCACGCTGGTATTCTGTGAGAGCGTGGTCCTTCCCCGGTCGAGCCGACCCATTCGTGCTACAACTATACTACTAATATAACTGCAGCATGGCTCTACCACGTAAAAAAAAAATTACCTTTATTTTCGTCCATGTTTTCCCGCATCCATTATTTGCGGAAGTATAGCTCCTATGGCATTCTTGTAAAAGAAGTAATATAAGTTTAAAGGCAAAGTGGACGTTCTATCACGGTACCAAACACTTTTGCACAATAGATTCACTATAAAACATTTGGGCAATTTTAGCCTCCAATATCCATTTGTTTTCATATAAGCAATTTGTAGGTGTTAGGGTTGTCAAAATCTGCTTGAGAGACGCCACGGCATCCTCACCTTCCGCCTGACGCAGGTCCTCACCGGACACGGTGTGTTTGGGAGGTTCCTGCACCGAATCGGGCGGGAGGAAACGCCCGGGTGCTCCCACTGCGAGGATGGACCGGAGGACACGGTGGAACACACCGTGGAGGTGTGCCCTGCTTGGGCGGAGCACCGCCGGGTCCTCGTAGCGGCGATAGGCGGCGGCGACCTCTCGCGTCCGGCCCTGGTCGAAGCCATGGTCCGGAGCGAGACGGAATGGGATGCCGTCACCACCTTCTGCGAAGCAGTGATGCTGGCGAAGGAGGTGGCGGAGCGGGAGAAGGAGAGAGCAGCAGCTTTCCTCCCCGACCGCCGCGGGAGACGCCCCGGGCGTCGGGGGGCTACGTCGTGGCCCCCGGCCACCGTAGGCGCGGGCCTGTGGACGGCGAGCAATGGGTAGCTCGTCGTCCGTCCGTCTAATGACGACAGGCCGTGTCGACGGCGCGTTTTGTTCCACGCGCGCCTCAAAGAGCTGTCAGCAGCGTGAAGGGGCCCGCAAGGGCCGACGCCTGCCGGGGCTGCGGGCTGTTCGAAAGAGATACCGCGGCTCCGGAACGTAAGGGCACTGAAGGAACACGGATGGTTTTTAGTCAGTAAAAGTCTGACACCTCCCTTACGCTCCACCCAGAGCGAAAGGGGTCATTAGATGATTTTCCATCCGCAAAAAAAAAAAAAAAAAAAAGGGTTGTTAAAATCTGGCGAGCACAGGTAGGAAAATAAATAAAAATATACTTAGCAAAACCTTTTCTTTAATTAAATAGATGTAAGTTCCTCTATCCACAGTCTTTAAATCTGTCTAAAATATATGGCACTATTTTAAGGTAGGTTTATTTTTTTGTAATATTATAGAAATCAAAACATGTGTACCTAGTCTTCTTCTTACTACAGAAATACAGCTAATTACACAAACCCAATGTTACATTTTAAAATTATTGTATTGCTTAAAAGTTAGGTACAAACATTCTTTTTGAATTCAAATAGGTATTATGTACAATTAAATACTTATACAGATCCACTCTATTTGAATTCTTATAGTGTAATTTGTGCAAAAATTATTAATTGAATTATTACATTATTTAAACAAGTTGTTTAGCGGAAAGTTGCAAAGAAATTTATATTTTTATTTTTTATTATAATGGATTTCCGCAAAGTAACGCCTGATTCTATCAATCTATTACATTATTGTTACATAAATAATATTAAATATTATATGAGATTAGTTAAGCTATTATTATTTTAATAATTACACTACAGTATTAATTAATTCATAATTTTAACTATAATAAAATTATAATTTAAAAAACTCAGGCTATTATGCAAATATTACCATTTAACTTATTTCACATTTTAATAAATAAATAATCAATATGAGTTACTAATCGTTGTTAGAAATAAAATGTCAATGTTCATTAATTCCTTAAACTAAATTTTATATTAATATAATAAATTTGACGAATTTGTAATTAATTATGTACATAGGTACTATGTTATCTCAAAAAGAAAATTCGTATTCGTAGATGATGAATTGTGGTTTTTATCGTTCAAATCCCACATAGTTTTTTCTGATTCTTCTGATTGAACTTTATTGTATTTTCATTATTCCACTCGAAAGGCATTTTGGTAGATCGTACTACTACGGCACGCACGTCCGTTCATCCAGGCGCTTGGGTGAACACTCACTGCCGCTCGCGCTGCCAGTGTTGCCAACGGATGAAATAGCAATCCGCCAGACAAGACTCCTCAAACCACCAGAAAATCACTAACAAAAAGATGTCCCCCTCTGAAAACCACTAAAATTTCCACTAAGATATATGAATATGATTAAAGCAAAAAAAAAAGTAAAATTACGTTTATTATTAAAAATCTTATTGTTGTTAATATAATTTTTTTACTTTTAGTACTTAAAAACATCAAGTTGCTTAAGATATTATTTACATTAATAAATCGTCTTCAGATGAATCTGCATTTTCATTTCAGCCTTACTGTTATCCTTATCAGACTGATATGACTCCTTCGTCCCGATTTGTTTTATAAGATTTAAAGGAATTTCATAATTGTTGTAGCACTTTCCCATTAACTGTATACCGCAGCGTATTTTTAGAATTGATTTCAAAAGAGTTAGCTTCATTCTGTTTCGCTGCTTGTTTTTTATAATATTCATGCTACTAAAAAGTCTTTCCACATCGGCATTCGAATGTGGCAATACCAAAAGTGTAATCGCAAATGTTGCTAATTCTTGAAATCGAGCAACACCTTATGCATCTTTGAATTTCAAGACTTTGCTCCAAAATTTTTTTGTATCTTTTGTTTCAATTCATCTCAGTAAATGAATTCGCTGCCATTGATCGTCAATTTTTGCAATTAATTCTGTACTTGTTACGAACCGAGCCATTATATCAACCAGATTTTCTTTGTTGTGATGCAGGGCTTTTTCGAGACTTATACGGGATATTTGTTTCATGAGAGTAATATTTTCCGGCAATCTGTTTTTTATTTCGTCAATCAGACAACCTATAAACTGTATGCACCTATTCCGCAATACTTCTTCCTCTTCCCGTGGAAAACCTTTCTCTTTCATTTCTTGAATCTGTTTTTCGAATCGGAATCCCAGGTAGCATCTTTGGTCCAAATAGTCACGAATATTTTGAGTAAAGATATCTATCTTATGTGTAGGCAACGTTACTTTTAAAATTCCTAATCCGCTAAAAAAACCACTAGCCACTAAAAGCAAAAATTTGCCACTAAAAGGGGGTTCCAAACCACCAGATTTAGTGGAAAATCCACTAAGGTGGCAACACTGCGCGCTGCCCGTCCTTTGACTTCCGCACGAAAAACCGACATTTGAGGGATCGTCGGGCAGTATCAGCGGCAGCGGCAGTGTCAGCGCGAGTAGCCTGTTTACATACTGCCCTGCCCACTGCCCTGCTCACTGCCCTGCTCACTTCCCTGCCCAACATGGCTGAATGTAAATGGGGCATAAAAGGCGCAGATTTTTTTTCAATTAATACATTAGTATGAACCAGAGCACGTAGCCAACATGTAAACATTCCGAACATTGAGGCAAAAATGACACCTTACGCATTAAAATCGCCAAGCTGGTTAAGGTACAGGAAGTTGCATAGGAGCTCACAAACATATCTCTTCTTCTTACGCTGTCGGGTATTAAAAAAGTGACAACCCTTGTACATTTTTTTGGATGGGCAAAATTGACAACCGCGAGACACAATTCATGCGGCTTATTTTGCCCATTGTCATCATTCTCTATTTAAAATACTGACAGGAAAGAATACACAAGAAAAATATTCTAGAAACCCCTTTCTAGACCATGTAACAAGGTAATCTCACCTTTGTATTCGCCCTTGAGAAGCATATCAAGAAACGCTGAGGCTAAATTGACTCGCATCAAAATACACGTGCACTTTGACTGGTTCTGACAAGCAACTGAGTGTAATCAAAGGTAAGCATCATTCCCCAGTTGTGCTAGAAATATAGTCTACATTTATTTAAAACAAAACAAATCAACGTAAATTAAATAGTAATTTTTAAATTTGCGATTGAGCTTAAAATTGGCATAGCGGTCAAAATATAAAACATTGGCAAAATTGGACGGTTTGACGGTAATTCTTCTCTATATCGCAGTCAAATAGCTGAGTTAGCCTTTTAGTTAAAGGCCTAGCTTTTTTAGTAAACGACGCCTTTGAACTAGCGACCTCAATAATATTCAGCTGAAGCGTCTAGTACAACATTGCACCTGTCTCGTAATATCAGTGACAGCAGGTTATGGTGCGGCTAGAGTGGCCCTTGAGCCATCCTACATCGTCGTACTTTTATATAATATAGCAAATAGCGCTTAATTAGGCACAGACTAGCGACATTACGTGGCATGGTCGGTTTAGTTAAAAGGCGCCGTTTAATTAAAAATCTAGGCTGTTAACTGAAAGGTTAATTAAGCTAGTCGACTGTGACAAATACACCACGTCTTGGCACCACCTTCAGGATTTGAAATTATTTTATTGTTAATAGTGCACTGAATACTTTTTATTTAAAGTTTCTTTTAGTGTAAGTTACTCTTACAATATTGATTCTAAACAATTACTTACTACTTAGGAATTGTTCTCCTTATTTTATAAAAGAATTGCATTGTATTTTATCCTATAACATTAATACCTAATCTTGTGGTGGCGATGATGAACAGATGACACAGGGAAACACACTAGGAGATGGCCAGCAGTGTCTCAGTAATAACAACTAGAAAAGAAAAAGCTGTGGTTGCGAACCTGTTTGCTAAGCGTTTCATTTTGGCATTTCGTTGGCATTCTGTGGGGACACCTATGTGCAGCTGGGCACTTTGATAGGATAGCGTCTTTTTGATGAATTAATTAATACCAAAAACAATATTTTTAACATAATGCACCGAAAAATATTTTAAGATACAGTACGAGAAATAGTTTTATATGCTATAACGGACCTATAGAAATATAACGATCGGATCGTAAAGGAAAACAAAGCGTTTTTCTTTAAATCGTAATCATAGCAACTAGCCATAAATGTATAGTACAGTAAACCCTCATTAATGCGAACACGGTTGACACGAATTTTGGTTTAAGGCGAACAAAAATTTGCTCTAGACAATAGTTCCTTAAGCTTCAATGTAAGTATGTTCGGTTAAGACGAACCCTCGTTAATCCAAACTTCGAACAACTTTTTCGTCCCTTCACGGTTAATTATCGGATAATACGAACTGTAAAAAATCGAGGTTAGAAAAGTCATTAACTCGAGTTTCTAAAAATAGAAAAAGGATTAGGATATCAAACATTCACTCGAGTACGTAAAAATAGAAACAGTATCTCAAATTTTCTTTCCGTCTTACAAAAGCTATTGAAAAGGTTGTAACCTTTTGAAAACTACTTAACAAAAGCAAAGACTTCTTACCAATTTGGCTTTGTTAAGAAGTACATATAAACTGATGTCTGATGAACATAATAATAATGTTAAGTTATAAATGATATGTAGGTAGGTAATAATAATGTTAAGTTAAAAAATTTATAATAAAAAATATTGTAAATATAAAATAATAATATCAAAGTTATTAATAAAAATGTTTCTATGATGAATCATAATATTGGGTTTAGAAACACGAATTCATTTCTTGCATTGTTCGGATTACACGAACCCTGTAACACGAACTATTTGTCTGATTTTTTCGTGTTCGTGTTAACGAAGGTTTACATAAAAAAAAGTATCTTTTTTAATCTCAGGGCTACATTAAATAACTGTGTATTTAATTCGAAATAACTTTGTGCTCACTAACTTTTGTTTGAATAAACTTCGCCCAAACTTACACCGAGTTGGTCTCAGGTGCAGCCTCGTCAAGTACGGCGTGGTTGATTTCACAGACCAATGAACCGTGAGAGAAGTTTAACATTCGTTAAACATATAAACCGCTTATATTACTTGCTAGTGAGATGTCCTTTTGTTAAAAGAAAAATGAACTTACAAATGTATGTATGGTTGTAAAATAAACACTAAAATAAACAATAATAAAATAGTATTTCAAATTATTATTCAAGGAAGTTAACATGATAATAATATATTAAAAGTTTTTTTTTATTTTTTTATTATTATTATTTAATATTTGAATTTTACACGTAAATATTTGCAAACATACTGCAAATCTGCTACTGTGAACACGTACGTTCAAAATTAATAATAATGGCTGGCCGTATGAGGACGCTCAAGGTCGCTCAGCGAGCTATGGAGAGGGCTGTGCTCGGAGTTTCTCTGCGTGATATACTCAGAAATGAGGATATCTGCAGTAAAACCAGAGTGACCGACATAGCCCAACGGATTAGTAAGCTGAAGTGGCAATGGGCCGGCCATATAGCTCGAAGAACCGATAACCGATGGGGAAGAAAGGTTCTCGAGTGGCAGCCTCGTACCGGTAGGCGTAGTGTAGGGCGACCCCCCACTAGATGGAGTGACGACCTGGTAAGACATGCAGGAAGTCGATGGATGCAGGTGGCTCAGGACCGTGCTTTGTGGCGTTACTTGGGGGAGGCCTATGTTCAGCAGTGGACTTGTGAAGGGCTGTAATGATGATGATGATGATGTCTACCAGCCAGTATATTCTAAATCTATAATTACAACTGCGTAATGCGTGTTTAAAGCAAATACCTAAAGATTTATTATTATCATTATTCACACGTCACATGTCTGTCACACAATCGTCCAAGAATAAAGAATGAATAAATTCATGAAATTTAATTAAAACATTTAAATAAAAATTATATTATCCAACTAATAATAGAAAATTACAGCAACAGTATCATGTGAGAATTAACTGACGTAAACTTACACTGTTACCTTACATAACAATGTTTGCTTGATAAAGTTACCACCTCGTTGTGTACCACGTTTTCCGGTTTTCTCTGAAGTGTTTACAGTTAACAATATCGTTCACGTGTCTTGTGTAACCTTTAGATACAGCATCGTTTGAAAATTCATCTCCCCGCCCCCGTTTTGTCCTGTAAGATTTGGCAATGTTGGATTAAGGTAAATACTGGCCTCTGATTTTTAACGCGTATTTATTCCGGATATACCATAAAATAGTCAGATTAATTAAGATAGAGTTCATGATTAAAATAAACATTTACCACGTACTTGCTAGTGAATGAAGGTACGAGCACGTAACGAGACTTTCATAATATTTTGGAGCAATTGAAATCCGCTAAAAGGTAAATCCATCGCAGTGCGGCGGACTCTACCTTATCTTTTCTTCTTCCTTTACAAAATCGTAGAAGCCCTATTACTACGTAGTACTATTATGTATTCTGTGCCAATAGTGCGACCTTATAGACTGTTATCTTTATATATAAAATTCTTCTATCCGTATGTATATAACTGAAGTCCTCCTAAACGGTTTTTGATAAAATTGTGTGTGTGATTATGTAAGTTGATTACAGAATGGTTTAGATTCACAATCGGACGCGGTAGGTTGCGCTGTTGTCGAAAGCCATACATTACCCGTACGAAGCCGGAGTGGATCGCTACTTTTAGTATCTATTTATTAAAAATTGTTTAAATAAAAAACTAATAGACCACATCTTTGAAACCGAAAGTATGAAATAATTTCTCTAAGCCCCGTACAGACTTATAACCCTA